CTCTGAGTGCGGCCATCCAGCCATTAAGGTAAGGTTTAAATACTGAGTATCTCTAACCTGCCAAAGAGATTGCAGACAGTGCAGTTTTCTGACCTGTGACATCATCAGGAACCTCACCAGAAAGTGAGCAGTCTGGTTTCCCATGCCAAAGCCCTCAGACAGCAAGTCTCAGGCCAAACCCTTCAATTCAGCACTTTTTCCTATGCTGGAAGATCCAGGAAAATAGGTAACCAGACAGCAGTTTGCCACCCACCCAAGGTGCAACCCATCAGAGCCTAGATCAAATTTCTATCAAAAGGATAGCACTGGCTCCTTCTGTTTGCTACGAAATAGTTTTATCACTTCTGTGCTCACGGAACGTCACTCTTGCTCATGAGAGAACAGGCAAGATCTGAGACACTTATACTTTTCTCGAAGCAACTTTAAAGAGCAATTACAATGCTCCTAAAGAGTAGAGAACAGCATATTTTTTGCACCAACTAGCACTTTTTTTTTCATACTTCAAGTTTATGTGGAAGGGAAAAAAAATATATTAAAGGTAGCCATGGTCTTGGAATAACTGGAACTACTATAACACTATTTTGGCATGAAGGGCACAACCTTCATGAATTCAAGTTCATCAAGAATTTCCCATATTGGAAAGTGAAGAAAAACAAACTACAAAAATAAAAGTATTTTTAAATTAAGGAAAAAAGCATCCATATGTAAAAACGGAACAAATCTGGGTTTCCCATGTTACCAAACTAACATGCTCTGAAATTACAAGAACCAGGCATGGTGGGAGAACCCTGTTAGTACTTACCCAGTTTCAAAGCATGAAAGACATCAGGTTGCCTCTTTTCTGTATCTGGAAGAAATGCATTTCTATTAGCAATCTTTAACAAAGCAAGAATTTCTAGTACAATTTTTATAGCAAAAACTATATAAAGATTTTCATAGAAGTACTACAAAACATATGTTTTAGACATACATTCAATAAGAACAAAGAAAGCACTGACAACCTTTTTATTCCCTTTGGGAAGAATGACTCACCTATATGGTTCTCTGTGCAGAGCTAAAGCTACAAACTATAATAAAGCACCAGTGCAGGCATCTGTCTTTCAACTTCCATTCTCTATCAGGAAACTGTATTTGGAAAGCTTCTGTGTTTCCTGCCTGGAAGACTAAAATATCAAGAAAAAGAACCACAGTATGGTTCTGTGGTCTGGTGTAATCCTCTCTACAACAGCAAACACTCTATTAGTACAGGATTATTTTGAAAGGTGACTCAAAAGGAGTTGCATAAGGTGTCCTATTTTTATTTCCTCTGGGATATTACCAGGTTAATTTGTGATGGTCACAAAAATAATAGCAATGATTTAATTACACAGCTTGCTATTTGTACATTAACAGTTATCCTCCAGTTCCCGTATCACCATCTCCATAATAAGAACCGTAATTATTACAAACTTTAATATTTTGAGAGAAGGATCATTTCTGCAACATGCCTTCAGAATGCTTTGAAACTGCTGAGACTAGGTAAGATGACAAAAAAAATCTTGACATATTCTGCACCTTCCACCCGAGCCAGAAAAGCATATCCTCCTACATCTTCCAAAGGATTACTGACACGACAGAATCAATGGGGTAAAACGATTTTAAGGAAAACAAGATGACATTGAGATTTCCTGAGCTAAATTCTGCCATTTTTATGATAATACAGAAAAGGTTAATGTTCATAGCTTGACTCCAATAGAAGTAATTTGGAAATGCTGAACAAAGCAATTGCTGGAAAGCCCTCAAAAACATGAGAACCTCTTAAGACTGGGGAAAGAGAGTGGTGGGTCTTACGATTTCTCCTGGTTCAGAAACTGCTCTTCTAGAAGGAACTGTGTATGAGTCACCATTGGAAAACAGATTTCAAAAGGCTAGTTTAGAAAAGGAGCAGACTCCATAATGTGAAAAGCCTGGAAGAGAGTCAGCCTCAGGGAGCCGGAGACCACGAGTAGATGCCTGAAGGAAGGACTGCCACCCAAGTAAGCCAAAGCAGGGACAGAATGCAGGTAACACCCAGGCTGTGTCAGGCAGTTCTGAATTTGCTACTCAAAACACACCTGAGAAAAGTGTCGCTTTCTTTTGGGAGGCAATTTGCCCTATCTATGGCAATGGATCAGAAGACAAGTTCCTTTGCTGCTGCCTTCGCTATGAGAGAAAGGTTCTTTTTTCTTCATGAGATATACAAGACTCCAGTGCTACAAGGAAACTGAAGCCATGGCCAAAAGCTAGTGCAGAAACTTGTATGGGCTCTTACCATTTTTACCCCCCTCCTATTTTTCCTAATATCTAACCTAAGCCTCCCCTTACACAACTTGAGGCCATTTCCTCTTGTCCTATCACCAGTTACCCAGGAGAACAGACCAGCACCTGCCTCCCTACACCCTCCTTTCAGGTAGCTGTAGAGAGCCATCAGGTCTCCTCTCAGCCTCCTCCAGACTGAACATCCCCCGCTCCCTCAGCTGCTCCTCACAGGACTTGTGCTCCAGACTCTTCCCACGCTCCAGCACCTCAATGTCTTTCTTGTAGTGAGGGGCCCAAAACTGAACACAGTACTCAAGGTGCGGCCTCACCAGTGCCCAGCACAGGAGCAAAAATCACTTCCCTAGTCCTGCTGACCACACTGTTCCTGATGCAGGCCAGGATGCCATTGGCCTTCTTGCCCACCTGGGCACACTGCTGGCTCATGTTCAGCCAGGTGTCGACCAGTACCCCCAGGCTTCCCCCCCTCTCTCCCCAAAGCCTGTAGTGCTGCCTGGGGTTGTTGTCACCTAAATGCATGACCCAGCACTATCTTCAATAATAATATGTCCAAGTTAACTTATCTTAAATAAAACCAAAAAATCCTAAGAAACCACAATCAAAGAACTGTCAATAGAATATAAATTTTCCTAATAATTAAAAAACCTTGGTAAATTGCAGGTAAAGACACACAGTATACTATTCTGTCCTTTTAATTGACTGTATGGTACTGTATATAATGGTTAAGACTGAAGGAAAAAATGTTGCTCAGTCTCAGTTTGCTCACACCTTCCTAAGCCTTAAGATCTCCTAGTGCAATATATATTACCTCTCTCTACAAAATCCTGGATTTCTTAAATCCTTCCACACTCATGGCTAAAGCTACATGACCACTACACATTCTTTAATTACACAGTCATAAAATGTTTATCTGTTTTCATGTCCTTCAGTGCACGTAGCGAATGCATTACAGGGCAAAATTAATAACCCATAAAAGCAGCATTTCTTAACTTCATTTTAATTCAGATTTGCATTGAAATAATGATATTCTAATCTAGTTTTGTTCATACACGAGCAGTGTGTGTGTGCCTATCTGTGTGTGGCTGCACACACAGGCAAGCATATTCATGTTTGAAGGGAAAAGGTTGCTTACAAATTTTACCAAGTGCTCAAGTTAATTAAGTATTCCCCTCTCCTGCAGGAACAGAAAAGTACATGCCAACTAGTTATTCATCCATGTTAATACTTGGTTTTCTTAGAATACACACTGCACTACCAAAGGACTTTGAGGAGGTTTCATGTATTCAGAGAAGGGTAGAACAAACCGTTAGGTTAATCACATCTGGTTTTCTGCATGTCACAGGCCTTGTATGCAACACCCAGTGAAGACAATCCAATGGTAAGCTTCAGAAAGGCATTTCACCTTGATTGCAACTGTTAAGAGATTGCACACCTCTACTAAGTCACTCCAGGTCTAAGCTTCACTGCAAAACAGTGTCTTATTTCCCATTCAAATCCTTCTAACTTAAAACTCAAGGGTTTTTCTTTTGCTGCTATATAAAAAGGGCCTCCAGTACTGGACTTCCTGTCCTTAATACGGACTCTTTATTAATCACACCTCAATGAACTCCTCATGAAACTAACTGAACAGATTGAACGCCTTCAGTCTCTCCTTACAAGGCAGGTTTTCTAGATTTTATCTTTTAAGTTCTCTTCAAGTCTGTGATATCCTTTCTTTGACACCTGTTCCTGGTTTTTATGTCCCTTCTTTAGTGCCATTTCAAGTAGGCCTTTGTAATTTTCTTTCTAAATGAGCACCTGGACCATGTGTTTTAAAAGCAAAAAAACCCCATTTAAAACATTATAAAATTTTTCACGTTATTTTTTTGCAGGACAGGAATCCTGTCATGCTAATATGGAGGTAATTGCTGAAGTTGGGCATTCCAACAGGTGTACCTTCTCCAAGGTCCTCTTTCAAAAGAGTCTAGTTACAAATTATAATAAAACATCACGTACATGCAAAATAACATGTTTAATTTCTAAATATGCAATAAAAACTTCAAGAAAGGAAACAAAAAACCAAATGCTTCATACCTGCCTGAGGTCTGATTGTTGTGAGAGATTCCAGGTAGTCCTTCATGTCTTTGTGTTTGAAGCCCACAGAGATTTCAAAAGGTGTTTTGTGTAGTACATTCAGGTGATCAGGATTGGCACCTTTCTCCATGAGCTGCTGTGCCAAGCTGACCTTTCCACTAACAGCTGCCAGCATTAAAGGACTCCATCCCATAGTCTTCACAGTATAATTACAATCAGCTCCCCAGTCTAGTAACAGATGTACCACTGCCTCATGTCCATGCTGAGCAGCTGCCATTAGTGGAGTGATATCGGGAAGGTCGTCTCTGCAGCTGTTAAGTACACTCGTGCTAAAATGGTCATAATTGTCTACAAAAGCTCCAGATTCCAGCAACAACTTCACCATACTGACGTGGCCACCTCTGGAGGCCATTGTGAGGACGCTGGCTCCCAACTTATTCTGTGCATTGAGATCAGCACCGTTCTCCAGCAAGATGTGAGCCACGCTTAGATGTCCAAACCTTGAGAGAAAGAGACAAGGAGGAGAATTAACACCTTGAATCGCAGAGGTTTCTCATGGAAAACCAACATACTCTGAACACAGAGATCTTTGTTACTGAATTGGCCTATTGACTAATATACTACGTGGGATCATGCAGGCATCACTGAATGTGACAGTGGTCACCTCACTGGAGGGGAGCAGTCAACAGCTGAGGACTGTAGACTAAAGCATTCCACATGTACCAGTGCTCATAAATCATACACCTATTTAAGAGGATGTTCTGGTCAAAGCAGACAAGTAATTGCCCCATTTTCAACTGCCTGATATCAACACATAACTTTAATAAACCATAGTCACTTTCATCCTCTTAATTCCAGGCCTCTATCACATACAAGAATCAAAGCCAGCCTGTTTGCAGAGATTTTAATTAAGTACCCTTACTACTATTGAACAAGTAAATCTTCACAGAATCAATGCTAAAGAAAAAAAACCAACCGCCCTGTTTTATGAACTGGATAGCCAATCTTTTGTATTTGCATCATCCCTTGCTTTTCAGTTGTGAACCATCAACAAACCTACATAATGGAAGAGGCACAGAGAAGACAGGCATGGGCCCCTAAAGCTGGAGAACATAGACAGTGGCCAGAGTTGTTGTAAAGTAAGCTGTACTTCTCTCAACACAAAGGGGACCAGAGGGTGGCCTTTGTTTTAGACAAACGGCTCTATCAGGAGCGTGGGACAGGGCCTTCCCTAAAACAACCAATAGCAAGTATTACCCTCCTGAGTCAGCCAGAGCAGCATGGGGGAAATTTCTACACTGCTCAGCACCAAATCTGACCAACCAACAAAATGAATTCTGAAGAGAGCAAGAGGCTTGAGCTGGCTTCCAGCCACATATTCCTCCCTGGCAACTGGGGACACCCAGTACTGCGATGGTGAGCATACAGGGACTGGTACTGGGCATGCTGCGCATCTTGTGGTTGAACTGTGCGTTACAATTGTTCTATTGGGCTTGTGTTATGATTTCAGGAGAGTGCTGTATCACTAGGCTAAATTAAAATCCTCCATAACATCAAATATCTTCAAATAAGGAAATTGGGTATTAAAGCATTAAACCCTCTTTGTGTGAAATGTCTAAAAACACTTGATCAGAGCACTGAACTCTTGACACCAGTTTCACCAGCAACCCAGCTTTGGTATCAGTTGACTACCAGAGGCTCTGGTAGTTTGTCAGTAAGCAAAAGACAATCATGCAAATCATACACCCAACCAGCTAACTAACCATAAGAAAATGGAAACTCTACTGTTCCTCAGCATAGTAAACATTAATAAACAGAACACATTCACAAGATGTGTACTTTGTGCTCTTCTGGCAGGTATCATGCATTACTATATGTTTGTGTAGTGTTTAACACAATCAAACTTTGATCCTGCAAGCAGCCTTTGTACACTGCAGCAAAGCAAATCTTAGTTGAGGAAATCCCAAAGAATGCTACTGACCACTAACAGCAGAAACAAAGAGTAAAACTCCCTGGTTTCCTTTCAGAAAGCACACAACTGCAGAAGGAAGCTTCCAAGGTCTGTGTAGTCCCTAGGTCTATCCTGGTAGCCTTCACTGTGTCACTTCAGTAGAGCCTGCAGCTCCTGTACACATGATTAATTTCATGCATATATGCCATCTCCTGTACAACGTCAACAGGACTAACCACAGCCAGAAAATTAAACGTGTACATAGTTAGAAACTTAGGTGTGTACAAACACCATGCTTCCTTTTTGGTTATCCATTAAAAAGAAAAAAAAGAAACGTGTTCTTCCAGTTTATGCTTTCTCCACAGGTTTATATAATTTCTACAGTACTTTTCAAATAGCAGCAAGTCATTTCTTTAAAACACCGAGAAGGTTAGAGAGATCTGAGTTTACTGTTTTTAGAGAATGAGTACACGGTTTTCATTAAGGGGGAAAAAAAAAAAAAAACTAGAAATGTTTCTACGACTTTTTTCACCTTTTTTTTTTTTAAACCTTTATAAAATAACAAAATTGTTGAACCTTGTATTCCTTGTTCTTACTGGGAAACCAGCTGTGTGACTCATTCTTTGGGAACTTTCTATGGGCTTTAATTGAAATGAGAAATGTTGACTTTGAAACAGACTCTTTTCTTCCAAGTATTTTAATCTGTTATGAAACACAAAAAAAAAAAACAAAACCAACCCACTCAAAACCAAAAAAACATTTCTCAATTAAGCATTCAATTATTATAGGAAAGCACAGCTCTGCAACCGTATAAAAACAGGTGTGTAAACCCAAGGGGTACTTGTGTACATACAGATAAACACAAACACCAGCATTACCAACGCAGGGATGTCCCACAGCCCAGCAGTGAGTTACACGAAGGACAGCATCACTGATGCAGAACACAATGCAGTTTTGTCATTAAAACCCTCAGCAATGATTTCCCATATCCTCCAGCCAGCCACTTAAGAACAGACAGAAAAGCCAAGTGAAATGAATTATTTCTGCTTGCTTCGGTGCGTTTTATGTCAGAGGCGACTTTCCAACAGGCAGGTAAGACTCACACATACCGAAACCAACGAACAAAAAAGGACAAAAAATGAAGTAAGGATGTGCACACATATTATTTCCGCAGAAGGAAAAAGGGGAGCAGTGTTTCCGTGTTCAGGTCACCCCTGACTGCGATGGCTTTACCCTTTTTCTTTTACCCAAGAAACACCACGCACAGATTCAACATGGAAAGAGAAAGCCTAACGCCCCAGCGTAATCCTTATCCAAATTTAAACTCGACAACCCCTCCTCACCCACCCCCCGGGGAAGGTAACAGGTGAGCGCTCGGATTCCCACACACCCCCCCGGGATAAGCGCCGCTACACCGGCAACGAGCGCCCGCGGCCTACAACATGGCGCCTCCCGCCCGCTCTCCCACACGCTGACC